TGTGAGAATTTACGTTATTGACGGGTGTTGAGAGTATTTAAATGACTTCGATGCCTACAGACTCAGCGCAATTCTGGAATATTGATAAGAAGGCTCTGGACTCCGCCGCACCGAATCCAGGAAGCATTACTCTTCTGTGTCGTTTGTGATCGTCACCTTCAAAAGTCAACTACAAATCATTCCATGTTTTGATCTGGGGCTGAAGACCTACCCTCGGCCCAGATGATTCCTTTTCCGTTGAGCATCTTGCTGAGGATGCGGCGCTCAGGCGGTTTGGGAAAGCGATAGCCTTTATTTGCAAATATGTATTGCAGGGCGGCCGGGTCGGAAATCATCAACTGGTTGTTCTATGAGTCGGCGGAGGATCAGGAAATGTAACTATGCCGCAAGTGTGAAATCTATTACATACGCCAAAAGAGCCCTTGAAGCGAACGACATTCCCATACTGAGCTTGCCACTTGAAATCAGCTTCCGCTGCCTGACCTTGGTAGAGTTCTTTCAGATTTCCTGGTGGTTATATCAGCAGCGGGGGGATCCAGCGAGAGAGAATATACATGCCCGTGATGAACGATGCAGACTCTGGGCCAGGAACGTCTGCCAAAGAGATATGAGAGTACCGACGGTACACCCCATAGACAATCGCTAGAGCCACAAAACCAGCAGCGATAAAGACAGGATCCATGGTTAAAAGATATACGATTTCAAAAAAGCATGTGAGGCGGCTTTATCAGTGTCTCTCTTATGGGTTGGATGACACTTGAAGCATGACGCGCACTCCTCTGCGACTGCGCGTGCGTCGGAAGGAACAGATATAGAAGTTGCATGGTTCTTAGACTGATCTTTTTGCCGGTTTCGTGAGTTCAGTACAGGTGATAGTACGCCTTGGGCTACAAGGAAAAAAAATCAGATCTATATGAAGTTTTGGGTATGTCATAAGACTTTTACACCAAAGATTATTCGTTCTGTAGATGATGGTCAGCTCCAGTTTTTGGGAACTGCTTACATGTAGTTGGATAGCCCTGTCGGTAAAGATGTTTATCCCGACTGTATCGACGTATTTGATAATTCTCGCGTTCTGATTGCAGCCATGATGATTCGATGGCCATTTTCTGATCATGACAGAACGATATGAAATGATATAGTACTCACTCGTGTCCCTACAAAACTATGCCACGAGTAGTCCTCTGGGAGAGATCAGATGACAGTAGCTGACGGTCATCTACTACTGACGCTTGTTGTCAGGATACAAAATCATATGATCGATGAATCATTCATAGCCTAATTATCACTGGGGCGTGACGGTCGTATTTTTTGGGACTTCAGTGTAGCCTCCCGTAGACTGTAGTCAGACCATATATCGAAGGTTCCGTTATGATGATTTGCGTAAGACGATGAGTGTAAAGGGGCTGGTGAACCGATAAAGGCCACGTGTCAGTCATGGTGGCAATACTGAACGTTGAACACACGACAGCAAATTACCGACACTGTGTCAAGCTGGACTCGCATGGACTTTTTATCGCAGACCTATATCGCCCTTCGCGGTCCAACAGGCGCTCCTCAGTCTGCGCAGGACACGATCGCAAAACTTAGTGACCGGTTATCTCCTTCTACCCTCCTTGCGGACAGACGCGCTGCTGTCCTTGCGTTGAAGGGTTTGGCTCGCGATTGCAAGGAAGATGTCGGTGAAAGAGCCCTTCCTGGTCTCCTCGAAGTCCTACAGAATGATGCGGAAATAGATGCAGAAATAGCAAAGGCCGTGCTCGAGACTATTACCCAGCTCTGTGAACCCGAGGATGATTCCAAGGATCTTGCGTTAAAACACACAGACTACGTTATCAGAAACGAACAGGCAGTTCATGTTTTGTTCTCCCTCCTTGGTGATGCACACTTCTATACTCGTTATGCGACACTACAGTTGCTCTCGGTGCTACTACAGAACCGCCGTTCTCAAGTTCAAGGATATTTCCTCAAGGCCCCTGCTGGCACCTCCAGTGTCATTGCCGTCTTGGAGGATAAGCGCGAGATCATTCGTAATGGTATGTATTTTAGCTACTCCATCTCGTCCCACGCGTGGTACACTGGTAGACCTGCTCATACTACCTGTCTCGACAAAGCTGGATGTTGAACATAACTTAGTCCTCGCGTGGCCGTACTCATACCTAAGTTCCACATGTAACAGGGCTTTCAGACGACAGTGTCCGACGCAGGTCTACCAAAGCCGGCATAAGACTCGTTGATTTCCCTTACTAACGCCAGTACACTTTCAGAAAGCATCATCGTGATCCAAATGCTTATTTCTCAAAGTCCTGACATACAGAAGGTGCTTGCCTTTCAAGGCGCATTTGAAAAGCTCTTCAATACTGTCACACACGAAGGTGGATTGGAGGGAGGTGTGATCTCACAGGACGCACTTCGATGTGTCGACAGTTTGCTTCGGTATAATAGCTCGAATCAGGTGATTAGTGTTCTTTGCTTGAAGCGTACTTTCATTGATGTTTACGATAGAGCTACTTCCGCGAAACGTCTCTTCCATCGTTATTATGCTCCCTCTTACTCTTACCGTCCAACCTTTCCCTTCAAGATCCAGTTCCACAAGAGTTTGCACTGCAATTCTGGGACTCGCAAAAAGTGGCAAATGTGTCACTGGTGCTTGGTATTATGGGAATGTTAGTTGGGTCTAAAGGCAGCGTCAGTAGATTCCAATATTCTTCCTACGTTTGTTTCATAGTTTCTTCAGAGTCAAGAACTATCTGTCTTCGTGCGAGGCTTTGTCGAACTAGCCCTCGCATCCAATGCGCCAACACCCCTCAAGACTCAGGTCCGTTTTATACGGCAAGCATCTCACGATATATAACCTGATTGTATGTGTGCGTTAGGCGCTCCTTCTCCTTCCTAGCACGTTGACTTTCCCGCTCTCGGAGGTAATTTTAACCCCCTATATGCCTGTGCCTGAGACACGCGGAGAAGAATGGGACAGATTGGAGCCGGCGTCCGCGCTTGATGCACTTGTAGAGCTTGCACTCCATGGAGAGTACAATGGGTTATACAGTGATAGTCGTACCAAGGAGGGACTTGAGCTAAGGAGTGCAGCTGTGACTGTCTTCGATGTACGTCATTGTCGTCCTTCACTAGAAAGGGTCGGAATTGATTCACTATAGAACTTTGTGCGGAAAGAGGATATCAGGCAGGCCATTGTGCAAGGGATGCTTCCTCCTCAACGTAAGCAGCATCTTCCATATCATGAAAAAACGACTCAGATTGTATTTTCAGAATCAAGCGAGGTTCCAATGATATCGCCCCTTCTGCACTCTCTTTGCCTCTCCCCATCTTCCCCTCTCAACATCGCTGATGTGACCTCTACTCATCTCGCTACACTCCTCTTTGCTCACCTGCTCGCCGGCTCCCCAAGAGCAAAAACTGCGGCCCGGTCTATCAAGCCTTCTTCCAGCATTCCGGGAGAGACTTCGGGTCCAGGAACACTTTTTGTCCCTGCAGATAATAATACTCCAGCGCCAACGCAGCCGGAGGAGGACGAGGAAGATGCCCCGCAGAGTTTGTTGCACCTCTTTTCCGAGAACCTCTCGTTGTGTTTCCTGTCTCGCTCAAGAGCTGAGAACGACCGTGAGGAACGCGAGTGGAATAGATCAATTGTTGGGTACATCTGTCTGCTTGCACAGTGGCTCTGGGATGACCCTAAAGCCACGAGGGAATTCTTAGAAGCCGGCGGGCTGGGCACAGTGAGTCTTCCGCCCGATTCTGCGAACACCCACGAGACCTCAGGAACCCATAGCTAGTAGAGCCTATTAACCAGACTTCTGAGTCGGAAGACCTCATACCTGGACTTTGCGCCTTTCTGCTGGGCATCTGTTATGAGTTCAATCGGGAACCGGGAGAGATCACCCGGCATGTGTCTTTAATTCTTTGTCTTTCACGCGTGTTTATATCTGCTTATTCAACAGCGCAACCATACATCCCATCATCTCTCGGTTGGGCGTAGATGTGCTCCTCGGACATATGTCTCGTGTACGAGAGCACGACTGGTTCAAGTCTATCAGCCCTGAATCCATGGTACTCCGTTATCCAACCAAGGCACTCCAAAACACCCCACCCGTTGAACAGGAAGGCGAAATATGGCTTGACTGGTCTTTCGTCGACTTCTGGAAATCAAATCAACGTGCGCTACCAGGTTTCTCTATCGCATATAATTGATTTAACGACTTCTTTGAAGATACCGTCCAGAGAGGTCTGGCAACGGACCCTAGCACCCTGGCTTCATCGTCAGGTCAGGAACAAGATACAGAGTATCACCAGTCACATTGACTTACTTGCGGTCACAGGTCCAAGTGCAGAATCCGCAATGCTCATCAATTCTCTCAAAGACGTCATTCGCTCTCAAGTGCAGGAAATAGACGCATTGCAACTTCGTCTCAAGGAGCTATCAGTTGCTGAAGCTCGGGTACGTAGTCATGGATGTATCCGGACGCTGCTGCTTACTATGATTAACCGACAGTTGGCTGACTCAGAGGCGCGTATTGCGGAGCTTGAGGCTGAATTGCAAACATCAGATGGCAAGAAGAAGGAGGTCGAGAAGGAGCAAGAGGATCTTCTAGTCCTCCTCGATGATATGAGCACTAAGCGCAGACGAGACAAGCAGCGGATGAGAGAAGCAGGTATGGAAGTTTCCGAGGACGAGGCGGATGATGACGACGAAGATGAAGATGAAGGAGAGGATGAGTGAAACCTAGTACCCATCGATTTTTATCTTTGCTAGGGTTTCTATCGTATCTCAACTTTTTAGACCTCAAGTACATAACGTTAGGCAAAATACCCTTATTCTCCCCGTGGTCGGCGGCATGGCTTGAAAATCAATCATTGCAAGAGTCTCCTTTGTCCAGCATTCTTCCGTTCCAAGCACTACTTAAAGCCACAAAGAAGTGGGATCTGCACGACAGAAAATTGATGCTGGGAGTCCCTAACATGAATGACACAAGAAGTCTGCAATTGCATCGCCCAGTCATGCGGCACAGCTAATATTAATGTTCCGACAGCGACATAGCGGAACGCACGTGTGATGTACCACGAGGTCACTAGAACGGAAATGTAAGTGTTCACATGCTCAACAAAAGGGGGTTGTACGTGTTTCCGATTATTCGGGGATTGTGATACGCTAATTAAAGGAATAGCAGTGAAAAGACGTAGAAGTCTAATAAAAGAGATGCCAGACCAAAGTGGGACAAGTGTTGAAACAAGTGTACGATGAGATGGTGCTATGCTATGCTATACAAGTGATCCGTGGTGAAAGAGATGGGCTATGTATATGAATCCGCAACGCGAGAAATAATCAAGAAAAAAAGTACGCAGGTTGTAAAGGTTCCGCTCCTGTGTAACTTCTATGGGTTTTATTTGTCTATCTCCTCCGCACACCAGATATCCGGTGGTAAGCCAGCCTACTTACATAGCCTGTCCGATAGGAACATTGGTCCAAGTTTCCCAGAGTGCCTGTCGTGAACGACTATCTGCCAAGGATGATGCGAACATCACAATCTTCCACACATCCAGGAAATTGCTTCCGAGTCCTAGACTAATCCGCACAACACCGAGCTCGCGGCCGACCACTCGCTCAAAGTCTTTGAGCGTGACGCCAGGATACAGTTGCTCCATCTGGTCTTGAATACCCAGTAACGAGGCTGCACCCCCGGGATTGCACATGCAACCTGTGCGAAGAGAAATGTTCCACGTCACCGCAACATGTTCAATGAAGCTGTTTGGTATCATCTCCCCTGAAGGCTGCAGTCCAATGTTTCATTAAGATAATGATATAGTGAAAGTCGGGTACTTGCCGAGAGGAAGATAAGAGAGATTGTAGACCCGCTGTCACCCTGTTCCCCAATAGACTTCAGTCTCCTAGAAGGAAGCTTGGATAGAATATTAACGACAGGGGTTCCGGTCGAATCATGTCTCAGACGAGAGAGCGAGGTGACAAGATAATGGGTAAGACATGAGAGGCGGAGAGGGAGGAATGGCAGATATACAGAGAGAAATCGTAGACCGTCTGTGACCGCGGGTAACGTCATGAAATTAATGGTTCCATCCTAGCAATATGAATAAATTCGAAAGCACATAAATTTGAAAAGAACCATACTTCAAACTGTTCATGAAGAACACTCGTTCTAGTAAAAATCGAACCTGGCACCTGGACGACACCAACGGTTCCACCAGCGAACCATGGGCGCTCCAAGATCTCTAAGAACGACTCCTTGACAATGAGGGCTCCGACGCCCGTTGGATAACCGAACATTTTGTAAAAGCTCACAACCATAGCATCAACAGGGGTTTCCGAAAGAGAAATGACAGATGATGGTGCCAACGCGGCAGCATCAAGAAGTGTGTGATATCCAAGTGAGGATGCAAATCCGACGATTGAGAGTGGATTTTTCGCGTTAGAGATATTGGAAAGGCCGGTTAGGGCAAAAAGTGAAGAAGCGTTCTGTGGTCTGTGCTGACTCAAGATATCCTACCACGGAGAATTAACATTCAGCTGCTAGTTATGTTGAGTTGAGGCGCATATACGCGCAAAGGACATACCTTGGCAGTAGATAGAACGAAACCTCCAGTACTAGTTGATGGGATGTAATGTACTTCAGCTCCGCGACGTAAAGCGTACTCTCGGATTCCATGGACGCTATTATGAGAGTCGGCACCGAGGATATAGCCGTTATTGGACTTGAAGGGATATGCCTCCCCAACAAGCTTCAATGCAGCCGTTGCATTTGCTGTAAACACGACGGTGTACCCTGGCGGGGCTCGAAAGAATGAAAGAACCGTATCCCGCGCCTCGTCAGCATATCGTGATGATAACTTGGAGCTATGACTCAAATGAGTAATGATCGGCGACCGATTTATAGAAGCTCCGTACCTATTACTGACCGAATGTGTGTTTCCCATGACCGCTTCGGTTAGGAATGCGCTATGAACGCGAACAAGGCTCTCAGGATATTGTGCCCCACCCATGTAATCTACATATGTTTCACCGGTTCGATCCAATCTGGCGAAATCTGTTCTTCGGAGGGTATCAAGTATCCAGGTGCTCTGATATTCTGGAAACGATTTGAGAAATGCACTATATGCGCGTGCCTCAGCATCTTGTCGCGAGATCGAGGGCGTCAAGGGTGTGTATGTTGTCAGTGTCGGGTATAAATGAGTGACGTTCGGATTATGATTATGAGGAGGCGCCGAAGGCTTCTCGCACGAAAGTGTGTCATGCGACGATATTTTTGATTTCAATAGTGAACTCTGTGATTTGTGATATCTCAGACTGATGTGAGATACTGGAGCAGAATGATTATGATTGATGTTAACGCCGACGCGCTGTTCGCAAGATTGATGGGGAACCACAGAAGATGAGTGTTTGTTGCCCATGATGGTTCCTGTCGAATGATATCGGTGTAAGGGAGGGTCGGTGAACTACACAATGCCTTTATATATTTGGAGGACAAGCGCCTTGGCATTTCAATCGGGTCAAGGTCACCTATCTGACCAATCCATACCTCCAACGTCTGACCAATCTCTCCACACCTCCAATCGCGTCGGACGAAAGTCCATGAGGCTAACCAAGAAGTCAGTCTACGGTAATTGGTACCCCTGGCCGGTAGGAAAATGAGCCTAAGTTACAAGGGGTCCAGTCTAGTCCAGTATTCGCCTTTCCATTTGAAAGTTTGCGTGTTCAAAGTCGGTGCTAGAAGCGGCTACCAAGTCAAACCTTGTATTTTTGTTGTAGTACTAATATGCAGTCAGCGTACACCAGCAAAGGGTCCGCGGATGCTATCTTTGACAGCTGACTCGGATAAATGGTTTAGAGAGGGCTGTCTTTGAATGAGGCTGACCTGCGCAGCGGGTACAATTAATGTGATGCCGGACCTTGAGCACAGGTAGTCACTAGACTGACAAATGCGATGGTCCTGAAACGCTGGTCTATTACGGTCCTTCTTTTGACAGCATTCGTGCTTGTGGTGTGCAGCCTGGAATGACTCGGATATCTCGATACCCTACCAATTCGTGTTCGGCTGTTGCTTCAAGTTCCCTCAGCTCTCGTACCTGCAAGCATGAGCTGATGATCGTTGTCTTTATCATCACAACTGTCAGGGGCATGGAAGTTATAATTGACGCTGTTCAAAGTTCAGCGACCTTTGGTGCAAGAAAGTACTTGCAACTTCTAGAGCGGCAAGAACTTGAGATGGAGGTTAACGTTAATGCCCGAATTCAAGACGAGCAGCAAACCTAACCCGGTAACATAAGGAGCAGAAGATCCTACTTAGCTCCTCCCATGTCGTATAAATATCCGACCAGTGTCAGATGTGCACAGCCACGAGTCCAACTTGGGGCAGCTTTGTGTGAAACATTGGGCAGTCCGAGATTTGCAGTTCAAAAATGTACTCGTGGAGTGTCTGTTGTAGTCAGAATGAGCAGGAGTGACTTGCCCGATTAGCGGCGGCGATGTGAGAACATTTGTCGTTGCCGATACTAGGACCGAACGGGATTGGCACCGTCAATTTCCGGGCTGCCATGATGCGGAGAACAGCCACGCATGGCATGGGTGGTCCGTTCAGTACCTGAGAGTCATAAATTTTTGAGGGTTGAGTTTGAGTGGCTATTCGTTGACCGTCTTCTCCCACCACTCCACGTGAAGCGTATTGTATCGTACAGGCCATGCGTCTACATTCATTCATACAATGGTTTTGGATTCTACGCCCCACAATATGATTGATTCGGGTCAATCACATGGTCTGTGTGTCAGAGTCGCCTTGTTTGCCGGCAGGAGCCTCGGCTCCGCAGTCGCGTCCACACTGCTGTGCGCGTGCGCATTCTATTTTGTCTTTGCTTCCTATTGACAGATATCTCACTGTCGACATCTGTCTGCACTGCCCGGCAAAAGCCATCGGATCCAGATCACGGCCAAAATACTACCCAAACTGAAAAAAATTAATGTCATCACTTTCATTTAAACTAAAACCTCATACTGTCTCAGTTGACTTACTGTGCGACCTTCTCAGTCTGTGAAATATTGCAGCGCTTCATTCCAACGTACGTGTCTGAGTTAACGGTATTTTCCGAAGTTCCCTCGTAGCTATGATAGCTCAAGCCATGACCATTTTTTAAACATGTGTCATTCGAACAGGGAAAACGATTGCGTGAAATTCGCTTGATGTGCCAAATGTCTTGGGCTTACTGTTGTTCAACATATACCGGGTACTGGATGCCCGAAGTTCTGAAAGAAAATTTCATTTGAAAACCATCAACACCCAAGATCATACCGTCAAAGGAGACTCCTTGCAACTAACGAGGGCATCATTGATGCATTGATGGCTCACATGGTGTGGAGGGCCTGAATGACGGTAGTCGACAGATCGGCTAGGTAGCAAATTATACCTGCAGATGAGGGGGAGCACCGCGTGTCCTTAGCCGAGCCAAAAGAAATATCCTACCAGCTACTCAAGCCAAATTATTGTGCACCACTAACACCGCCCCAGACTCGCTCGCAACGCCATCTCTGAGGATAATAAGTGGCGGCAAATATAAAGAAAGATGATCCGAAGACGGCGAAACCAGATACAGAAACGGCCAGCAAGAGGTTGAGTAAAGATATGGTGGTGTTAGTTGCTGGAAGCGTGTTCCTGGACCCGTCTAGGGTACAGGTCTATGGAAAAAAATCCTTTGTCCAATGATCGATACCGGCCCGCTCACGGTCCGCTCGGATTGCTTGTTTCGGTCAACAAATTCTCGCGCTCTCTCTCTATCCGTCTTTTCGTTGAGGGGTCTTATGTTCTCCTGACTTTCACCACGATCTCACATGGCTGCGTCTTCGTCGACTGCCGTGCGCTCTGTGCATGAACTCTCGTTCCTCCTGATTCTCTTGTTATCACAGATTACCATATCGTTGACGATGGCGTTTCCGTCGTCTCTTCCTTTTTGCTCCGGAGGTTGATTGAGTATCAAGGAGTATCGAGAACGTGGTTCGCCGCTTCTCAGCAGTACCCAGCTGGAGTATTCTTGATGGTGTCAGCCCCGACAGTCCGTCATATCATTGATAACTTTCCTATGATGACTCGTGCCCATTTTGACGATTTGGCTCGTGCTCATACACTGTCTGTCAAAGTTTCTGATACGCACGATTATTTTCATGACCTCCTCCGTGTTCACACATGTAATGATCATTGCGGCGATCTACTCTTCGTCTTCAAGCATTTGTTGCACGCGCGACGTCATTTTGATCCGGAACATCTTCCTGAACCCTTTTCGCAAACGAGCAAACAGACTTGCGCTGTTGCGAAGGCTCCGTCCCGTGCCACTCGTCCTGACACGGAGCGCATCGCTACTCGCCAACAAGACTCTGCGGCCCATCGACATGACTTTGACTCTGATGTTCCCGTGGAGGACGATTTCCAGTTCCCCACGATTTGCACGAAGGCTGAAAAGATGAAAACCATTGCTGAATGGCAGGATAAGATGTCGCTTGCTAACCAGAAACGTGGCGCGTGTGCAGTCTGTGCGTACAATGTTCGTGCTGCCGACCTCGTCTCTGTTCCGCTTTTTAAGAAAAAAAGAGCAAAAAAAACGCCATCCAAATTTCTCCTTATTCTTTTGCAAAATGAATGCTTGCCCGAGCATACGCTACCTCGATCTTACGATTTTGAATTGTATTCACGCGCTATTTTGTATCCCAAGGGTATGATTGATCGATGAAGGATGGGTTTGGGTTTGAGAAATGTCGGGTCCAGGTATACCCGTAGGGTCATTGTATAATTAGAGGCCTGGATGACTGGGTGCAAGCCTGAGAGATGGGCCACACCCTGGGTGCACGTGATCCTCGGGCCGGACTTTTGGAATTCTGCAGTAGTTCTTGTGCGTTCGACCTCGTTCGACAGTTCGAAAGCGAACACCGTTCAACGTTCGCAAAACTTCCCTGTTTCTTTTTCGTGAGCAAATTGAAAGTACTTACTAGCCATGTTCGCAGATATAGTCGAACTGAAGTGACCTATCTCGTTCTGTCGCACTGAACTCACTCAAGTCAGTCAAGCTCTTCTGGAGCAACATCGCCGTGGCCCACATCCTCCAATTCAAACGCGAGTCCCGTGAGCGTCTTCCGCTCACAACATTTTCATCGCTCGGTCAATTTCGCCACGTCCTCGCGAGATTCTTAACCGCAGCCATGTCTGATGGAGCCGTACCTGATGAGCCACGATCACCTCCATCGTCACAAAAGGATGCAGGGTTGAAGAAGCTCACACCATATTGGTACCCGTATACGACTATGGCAAAGGAGCGGTGGATCGGGCGGGAGATCCTAGAAATCGTGTCAACAGAATTTAGAGATCGATCCATGGAGTACTATGTAGGTGCTTACAAGTCAATTACTCATTTCTTCTCTAGAAATCACTATTCATTTCACAGCGATACGCCCTCGAATCCGGAGTGACAACAATTAATGGCAAGGTCGCAAAACCAAACACAGTAGTGAGGAATGGCGATCGTATAGAGTGAGCGCATTTTTTCTGCGTTGGAGGCATACCTTTATCCATTGATGTAGGAATGTTGTACACCGACATGAGCCTCCAGTCACATCTACACCCGTCAAAATTGTATTGCATGATAAGGAGCGCGACTTTTTGGTTATCGATAAACCTGGTAGCATAGTTCGTCCTTTGTAAATCTGCTTACAGTGCAACTAATTTAAAGATGTGGTACAGCCAGTACATGCATCTGGTCGGTACTACCGTCACAGCTTGGTAGAGATCCTTCGTAACGAATTTGGTTTCCCGAAAATTTATAGTGTGTCCATATCTACTCGAAAACAAACCTTACTGATTCACTCACAGCAATAAACCGCTTGGATAGACTTACATCCGGTTTGATGATCGTACCTATTGAATGCTGATCTGGCACGTTCGTTATCAGGCGAATTCGTCAATGGTCTAATCCACAAAGAGTATATTGCTCGTTGCAAAGGAGAGTTTCCCGCGTGAGTACTTTTAATATCTACCCATATGGTTGTATTGAGGAAATGGGCATAGTGAGGAAACGATATGCGAAGAACCCCTCTTGACTGTTGATCGACAGATGGGGCTTAACATAGTACACCCGGAAGGCAAGGTACGCGGTGGCTTTAGCTGTCAGTGCAGTTTTTGACAGTTTGCAGCCAGCGAAGACTATTTTTAACCGGCTTCATTACGATTCCGCGACCAACACGAGTGTGCTTCACTGTGAGACTTTTAGTTATACATTGTATTTGATGAACACATTCTTTCTCTTCAGGCCGTCCTATGACAGGTCGATGTAGGGCTCACACAGATGTCATGTCGGATGTTCCTGACCAAATTCGTTGCAGCACATCAGATACGAGTTCATCTACAATACCTCGGTCATCCAATAGCCAATGACCCTGTTTACTCTGAGGAACGAATATGGGTGAGGGTCCTCGTGTGATCTCAAGAATGCCTTGTATAACATCCACTCCGTCCATAGGGAGTTAATCTTGGCAAAGGGGGCGTGGATGTTATTCCTTGCGAGCACCGTGCTGCACCAGCGCCACCGGCGCATCTGCTGAGTGACAATAGTCCGGAAGCTCTTAATCTGAAACCCTCCAATGACACAGACTCACCCTTATTACTTACTTCGGAAGAGGAGAGCAATGCGAGAGCGAAATTGCTTCCACGCGAAACCGGGCACGATATTGGAATGGGATCACCTGTCCCGTTGTCATCTGAGGCAGTGGAAATTATAACGAAACTCCGGCATATGAAGGTGGGCGATTCAAAGCATGAGCAAGTGTGTGACGCACTCATAGGAAATAGGACGAAGATGAGGATTGGAGTCGCTGGCGAGATGTCGTATTTCGGGCGAAGGCCTCACTCACACCAAAAGACATCCCTCGTGCCCCTCTTCCTCCACAGAACAAACGTAAAAAAGGGGGTCCTTCCCTCCCACAAACACCTCTGCCAGAAGATGTGTCCTTGGCCCCACAGTTGACTCAAGGGGAAGCTTTAGCACGGCTCTCGCAGATGGAAGCCCCCTCCCCAGCTGTTGACACAGCGACAGGAACGCTGTATTGTTCAGAGTGCTACTTACCGTTACATCCTGATCCAAAGCCAGAAAGGTTGTACATTTTTCTGCATGCCCTTAGATACACCACAAGCCTCGGGTGCTTTGAGACAGATATACCAGAGTGGGCAGCTGAAGGATGGAAGTGGGACCAGGCTTAGATGGCACTACGTTCTGCAATACTATTTTTACATTTGTGTGCGCATGTATCAATTACCGAGTACCTACTGCCCCAAGAAGCTCAGCGAAGTTTGTTGAAAGATTGTCCAGATTTTTTTGCCTTGTTCCTTCAGAATTCTATGTATATAGTTCACACCATCACATCACGGAGAACTTGTATTCGCTTGTACAGAACTCTCAAGCAAGTCACGAAGCTGTCCAAACTAGCATGCATCATATGATGATCTCAGGCTGCCATCACACGAACTTACGTAAGTTGCGATTTGTTTGTTCGCTGCGTATGAGGTACTAGTAGCAGCTTGAGCCTTCAACACATTAATTGCTCGGACGACGACATCTTGGATAGTCAACACTCATATAGTCTTATTGAACGTTTAGATTCGGATAACTTTATGGACCGATGGTAAGTCGCTATTCCTGTGTACGCTACCTTGACAGCTGATAGGTGACATGATCCCCCTCGAGACACATCATGACTATACAGTTCTTCCGACGTCGAGCGAGCCAAGGGAAGATGTTAGCGAGGGCGCTGACCCTATTCTAGAATCATTACTACGAGACAATAAGGGCGTCACGCTTTATACACCGCATGGAGGCTCTCTAGTTGTTCATGAAGATGGTCATGCCTACAACTTTTCATATGGACCAAGCGGAATTTCAGGTCTAGTTCACAATCGTTATGCTGTTGCGTGCGCAGCGTTTGCTGGGATTGGCGGTGTTTCATTCGGGTATGACCAAGGCGTTATTTCCAATGTCCTAGTCATGAAAGACTTTCTGGCTCGGTGGCCAATTGGACCATGGGAGAAAGGATTGATGAGTATGCGAAGCGGCGATCTCATTTAGTATCTCCACTCATATTTGAAATGACAGCTGCTGTTCTTGAGCTTGGCGCATTGTTTGGCGCTATTACGAGCGGAATCTTGGCAGACAAATATTGTCGACGTCAATCCATTTTCTTCGCATCTAGTGGGTCATCTGTTTATCCCAGAAAAGAGATCTAACCACGGGCCTTCTCAGTCATTTTCTGTCTTGGTTCAGGACTGCAATGCGGGGCGCAGTCGTTAAACGATCTTATCATTGGGCGAGCAATTGGTGGCTTTGGAGTTGGGGCCCTAAGGTAATGTCGAATCTTGAATGGGCTCTATTTATGTAACTGAGTGGCGATAGTATGCTTTCACCGCTTTACATGGCCGAGATTAGCCCTCCTGAGCTCCGCGGCTCACTCATGGCGCTTGAGCAACTCGCTATCGTTCTTGGTGTTGTGTTTGGGTTTTGGACAGGTTTTCTTACGAGACACAGTTCGTGCTTCTGTCGTGAATCCCGATTGTTCTCATTTGTTACATTGGGTTCATAGTTGCCGGATCTGCTTCATGGAGAATTCCACTGGCACTCCAGTTTCTCCCAGGTATCTCGCTTTGCCTCGGATGCTTTGTTCTGCCACCTTCACCCCGACTGCTGGTGCTCCGTGGTCGCATCGACGATGCACGGAGTACTTTAGCCAAACTTCGTTTGCGCACTCCTGACGAAGCAAAAGAAGATCCGTTGATCCAGGTATTTTTTTCCTCCTATCTATGTCTACATTCAATGACAGCATCATAGCTTGAACTATTGGAAATGCAAATCAATGTTGCTCTCGTCCGACAAAAATCAACAGATGGACTCTCACGCGAAACATGGGCAACCCTCTTCGGTCGGGAGTACGTCAGACGGACACTTATTGGCATCATGATCATGTTCTTTCAACGTGAGTATCATCAGGTGTCATCTTCATATATTGTGTGCGAGTCTGTACCTAAACATGAATTGTGCTATAGAGTGGAGCGGCATTAATGCACTTCTTTACTATGGTCCAACTTTAGTTGAAAGCATAGGGATGCGCGGGGACACCGTCACACTTCTCGTTTCAGGTGGGATCGGAATCATCCAATTTCTTGCAGTTTTCCCGGCCATCATATTTCTCGACCGGTGGGGTGTGTGATTTGTCTTTTTTGTACCTTCATGTTTTCTTAGTGCACTTCTCATAGGCCGTAAACCCCTTCTCAAAGGTTCCCATTTTTATTCTTGAATCACCCACTTTGTGACTCACTGCAACAAAGGCGGCAGCGCAATTATGGCTGTGTCGCATTTCATGATCGCAATCTTAGTATGTCCCCTAATCATGATCAGCACGTACTGAGCCACAAGAATTCCATGTTATACAGATCCACCTTTTTCATGATGACTGGGAATCGAACACCATAGCTGCTTGGGTAGCGGTGTTGTAAGTTTTTTTTTACCCAGCTTCTCTCCACTTATTCAGATGAAATGATTGCCAATAGTTGCACGTACATATTTACTGCAGCTTATGGCATGTCCTTTGGACCCATTGGCTGGGTTCTTCCCAGTGAAGTATTCCCCCTTTCAATGCGAAGCAAGGGAGTTTCCTTATCAACAGCTTCGAACTGGATCAACAATTGTCTGTTCTGTTGTCTATTTCCGCGACTCATACTAACATAAGATCCTTTTTTCCCCCGCCGGCGCTCCTCTTCCTGTGTAGTCTTGATTGGCCTGATCACACCGCCGCTGATGGAGATGTCTTCTGCGTATGTTTATCCTCTTCATTCATATATCTCAGCGGTGATATATCGTTTGCGGACTTTGGCAGTGCGACCTTTATGATTTTTGCGTGCGCCTGTTTCGGGGCCTACCTGTGGTCTAGTTATGTTGTTCCAGAGACGGCAGGCGTTTCTCTCGAAGAAATAGATGCAGTCTTTGGTTCTGCAGCAGGTCAGGAAGACCGCAAACGGAAATGCGAGGTAGGAGATTGTCCTGCTTAGTCTATGTTAGTAGTCTTCCTATTCTAAAACATTATTCTAGCTGGAACGCGAACTCGGGCTGCACGACCTAATTAAGGGTCTCATTCCTTCGGAGGCACTAGACCGCCAAGAGTAGCAACAGCACTAATGAATTCAACAAGATGTGGTATATACGTATCTAGATCAACCACGTTACCGTGTTATCTAGCTACAATGTGTACAGTACAGCGCACTAATACTCCAGATGGTTCCTGTCATTATACATGTTGTTCTCCAAGAATACGAATGGATTAGTGAGCGTTCCAACTAATAAATATGATTAAGGCGACAAGCGTGTCAGGGCATGGTAAGGAACGTGACAAAGAGCGTATGATGTGTGGTGATGTGAATGCTGTGTGGTACATCGATAAATTAATTGGAGGTAGTACGCCGCCGTCCTGTGAGAGTGCCATATGCGCCCGAGAAGAGTTTGAGCTTCCCGGAAGGAGTATCCGGTTGGTCCCGTGCCGTATGTTTGCGGCGGGAGTCGCGTTGCTGCGGCACAGGGAAGAAGTGCACCGAGTGATTCGCGTTTTGGTACAACATGCGTGACTCAGACTCTGCAAACATCATACGCTGGGGAGATCGTGGCGTGTATGAATCGGGGGAATAAACGAACGACTTTGAATCCCGTGGTCAGACACGTGGCAAGACACGAGAACATTAGTGAATGCTCACAACTTTGCGCTCCACCTGCATCACGACGGGATCAGGACCACTCTGTTCTGACTCTTCCGAATCGGTCTCCCTTTCAGCCTGTGACGGCCACACCCATGGCTTCTCCACCGGCTCGGTCTCCAGCACCGGCTGATCCTCGTCATCATATACAGCTTCTGCCCAGCAGATATCCAAGAAACAGTCCTTTGGAGCGTACAGAAGCTGCTCGTCTAGTGCTCCAAGACAAGTAACATCAAAATCTACTTCGCGTAAGGAGCTGTCAAAAATCCATATGGAGCGTTCAAGTCCCGCTGGCCCTGGGGTCACTGGTACAGGATCGACGACAATGGGACTCAAAGAATCTTGCGTGCGTGGTGAGGGCCTTTTTGGCTTGTTTGAAGTAGAAACGGGGTAGTCTTTGGGAGGTGGTGTAGGCGGACTCGGCGGGTGGAAGAAATCGATCGGTGTCGGTGAGCGTGGGGGACTAGGATGTTCATAACGGTACTCAGGGAATGCGTGTGCGAAGGAACTGTCAGGGATTTGCGTTTCTAATCCCATGAACGCGTCTGAGGTAGCTCGAGGGCGAGCAAAGGACTCTCCAGTGGGGGAGTAGAATGGAGCGAGCTGTAAATGCTGAATCAGAAGCCATAGGAAACGAAAAAGAGCATATTAGCACTTACAGGGAAGTCGATGCATGAATCGTCTATGCTTTTCCTGATAGATGTTGGAAAAGATATCTGGGTGAGTCTCGTGAAGCGGGTCGCGAAACGGTCGCGAGGAGTGCATCTGTCGACAGTCAACCCCGTAGACTTCAAGTTCATCGTAATAATTTTTTACAAGGGGAGAGAGAGGAGGGAAAGGATTCGAAAGGAAATGCCACAGCAAGCGCAGACAACCAACACCTCGGGAGGGGGGAAATAGGTCTCGTCGTGAGGGTTCATCGCTATCTTTATCCAAAGCAAAAGTATGGGCGTCAAATAGTGGTGTACCAACGCGGAGACCCGAAGCCAACCTTAAGTGATAATGAAACGTAATGTATTGCGTACTATGTGGGCTTCTCTGTTGAGAAGCGGGAATTGGACTGACAGGATGCATTGGGCCGCCGGGAAGAACCAGTGATCATGGGAAGGCAACACGATGACTGCATGATGGATCAGGTTAATCGTTGTAGGTCGTAATCGGTTCCCAAATGACCGAGTCGAACGAGTAGAATTTGGGCTTCTGCGGCGGAACGAGTGACTTACTAGGTAACAAATGAGTAAAGGAGATATATAACCCTAGGAAGCAAGGGTCAATCTTATAGGGTCCTCCAGTATCAGTAGTAGGAGCCTTAACGACCCTTGATGAAAATGAATGGCAATCCATCACGCTATATAGACTGGCCATCAGAGGTGGGAGTGGAATTTAAAGCCGATTGGACGATGCCTTGGGTGTCATCCCTCCTTCATCTGTACCTCGACAAAAAATTTGTTGTCGGCTGCCGTGACATGCCGTACTTGAACACGATCGCCTACAGTCAAGATGAAGTTGTTGGACTTCTTCTCGTTTGACCAGTGATTGACAGACACGGCATATATGATGCGTGGAATCCGTAGTAACATCTTGAGGACGCCACCATGCCCCACCTGCGAATGCACAAATGGAATTTGTTACGGCTGGTGGAAACGGTGGTATCAGCCTAGTTATGAAACGTTAGCGTTGTTTAAGTTCAACCATACCCCATTATCACTTAGCATTCTAGTAAGAAATAACGTATTTGA